TCCGATTTTTTAAATTTTGTTTTTGATTTCCTGAATTCTCGGTTTTGCGATTTTTCATTTTTCGATATTTCAATTTTACGATTTTTTATTCTACTTGTCGACATCTCAGTTCTTCGATTTTTTTAATTTTCCAACATTTTAATTTTGGGAATTTTTGAATTTTTTGATGTTTTGAGTCCTCGATCTTCCGATTTCTCGATGTTTCAGTTCTTCTTCGATATTTCTATTTTTAAATTTTTCGACTTTTTCAATTTTTCTTTTTTTAAATTTCCGGATTTTTCAGGTTTTCGATTTTTAATTTTCGAAACTAAATATGACAATCGGAAATTTGAAAAAACTGAAACATCGAGAAATTAAAAAATTACAAACTGACATCACAAAAAATTGGGAAATCTAAAAATTGAAAAATCGAAACGTTGAAAAACTAGAAAATCGGAAAATCTAAAGCTTGGAAAGCTGAAAAGTCGAAAAATTGAAAAACCGTGAAATCAGAACACCGAAAAATTGACAAACTGAAACATCGAAAAATCGAGAAATGGAAAATTCCAGAGGTTGGAAAATTGAAAAGTTGAAAAATTCCAAAACTGGAAAACTGAAAAATCGAAAACCCGAAAATCGAAAAGTCGAAAAAAGCGAGAAATCTAAAAATCGGAACATCCAAAAATTGAAAAACTGAAACGCCGAAAAACCGAGATTTATTTAAATTATATACATATATACATGTCTCATACAATTTGATTTTTTTTTTGCAAAAAATTCATAAAAAATTTACTCTTTTAGACATGTTGTAAGTTTCTTGTTGTCGAAATAAGTCTACACATATTAAGAAAAAACGGCAAAATGTAGCCCCGCCCACCCACCCTATCTCAATTGTGATGATTTTTTTTATTCATCGTGAGCCAGCGGGGCGGAGCTTAACTGCAAAATCCTTATTTCTCTACGAGAAATTATAAACATGTTTTTGAGTATCGTTGTTCAAAGAATACTATGTAAATATGTAAATGTATATTAAGAAAAAAATAAAGCCAAAGATTAGGCCCCACCCATACCCGCCCCGAATTCTCAATTGTGATGAATTTTTCATTTATTGTCAGATCGAGAGGCGGGGCTTAATTACAAGATCCATATTTGTGTACAAGAATTTATCATTTTAGACATGTTTTAAGTTTCTTGTCATAAAAAATGACTACACATTAAGACAAAAGACAAAATAGTAGCCCCGCCCACCCACCATATTTCAATTGTGATAATTTCTTTTTATTCGTCGTGAGCCAAGGGGGCGGAGTTTAACTGCAAAATCCTTATTTCTCAACAGGAAATTATAAACATGTTTTTGAGTATCGTGTTGGGCGGAGCCTAATGGCAAAATCCAAATTTCCTTACAAAAATTTACCATTTTAAACGTTTTAAGTTTCTAAGAATAAAAAAGAACATCACAATTGAAATGGGGTGGGTGGGCGGGGTTTATATTTGGAACTTTTTTCCTTATATACTTGTAATCTTTGAATCACACGATACTTAAAAACATGTTTTTAATTTTTCATAAAGAAATAAGTATGTTGCAGTTAAGCGCCGCCCTCTTGGTTCACGGCGAATAACAAAAATCATCACAATTGAGATGGGCGGGTGGGCGGGCTTATCTTTTGCCTTTTTGGTTTAATATGTTTGCACTTTTTTTCACAACATGAAACTTAAAACATCTTTAAAATGGAAAATTTGTATAAGGAAATTTCGATTTTGCAATTGGACTCCGCCCCATAATTGCAAAATCAATATTTCCTTGCAAAAATGTACCATTTTAACCATGTATTAAGTTTCTTGTTGCGAAGAGATGGCTGTGTATTAAGAAAAAAAAAGGCAAAATATATGCCCCGCCCACCCGCCCGTTCTCAATTGTGATAATTTCTTTTTATTCGTCGTGAGCCAAGGAGGCGGAGTTTAATTGCAAAATCCTTATTTCTCTACGGGAAATTATAAACATGTTTTTGAGTATCGTGTTGGGCGGAGCCTAATTGCAAAATCCATATTTCCCTGCAAAATTTACCATTTTAAACGTTTTAAGTTTCTAAGAATAAAAAGGAACATCACAATTGAAATGGGGTAGGTGGACGGGGTTTATATTTGGAATTTTTTTCCTAGTTTACTTAGTATTCTTTGAATCACACGATACTTAAAAACATGTTTTTAATTTCTCGTAAAGAAATAAGTATGCAGCAGTTAAGCTCCGCCCCCTTGGTTCACGGCGAATAACAACAATCGTCACAATTGAGATGGGCGGGTGGGCGGGCTTATATTTTGCCTTTTTGTTTTAATGTGTCTGCACTCTTTTTCACAACATGAAACTTAAAACATGTCTAAAATGGAAAATTTGTATAAGGAAATTTCGATTTTGCAATTGGGCTCTGTCCCAATTAAGTAATCGATATTTCCTTGCAAAAATGTACCATTTTAACCATGTGTTAAGTTTCTTGTTGCGAAAAGATGGCTGTGTATTAAGAAAAAAAAGGCAAAATATATGCCCCGCCCACCCACCCGATCTCAATTGTGATGATTTCTTTTTATTCGTCGTGAGCCAAAGGGGCGGAGTTTAATTCCAAAATCCTTATTTCTCAACGGGAAATTATAAACATGTTTTTGAGGATTGTGTTGGGCGGAGCCCAATTCCAAAATCCAAATTTCCTTACAAAAATTTACCATTTTTACGTTTTAAGTTTCTAAAAATAAAAAAGACCATCACAATCGAAATGGGGTGGGTGGGCGGGGTTTATATTTGGAACTTTTTTCCTAAAATACTTAGTATTCTTTGAGCAACATGATACTGAAAAACATGTTTTTAATTTCTCGTAAAGAAATAAGTATGTTGCAGTTAAGCTCCACCCCTTTGGTTCACGGCGAATAACAACAATCATCACAATTGAGATGGGCGGGTGGGCGGGCTTATATTTTGCCTTTTTGTTTTAATATGTCTGCACGTTTTTTCACAACATGAAACTTAAAACATTTTTAAAATGGAAAATTTGTATAAGAAAATATCGATTTTGCAATTGGGCTCTGTCACATAATTGCAAAATCAATATTTCCTTGCAAAAATGAACCATTTTAACCATGTATTAAGTTTCTTGTTGTGAAAAGATGGCTGTGTTTTAAGAAAAAAAAGGCAAAATATAAGCCCCGCCCACCCGCCCAATCTCAGTTGTGATAATTTCTTTTTATTCGTCGTGAGCCAAGAGGGCGGAGTTTAATTGCAAAATCCTTATTTCTCTACGAGAAATTATAAACATGTTTTTGAGGATCGTGTTGGGCGGAGCCCAATTCCAAAATCCAAATTTCCTTACAAAAATTTACCATTTTAAACGTTTTAAGTTTCTAAGAATGAAAAAGAACATCACAATCGAAATGGGGTGGGTGGGCGGGGTTTATATTTGGAACTTTTTTCCTTGTATACTTGGTAATCTTTGAATCACACGATACTTAAAAACATGTTTTTAATTTTTCGTAACGAAATAAGTATGTTGCAGTTAAGCTCCGCCCTCTTGGTTCACGGCGAATGACAACAATCATCACAATCGAGATGGGCGGGTGGGCGGGCTTATATTTTGCCTTTTTGGTTTAATATGTCTGCACTTTTTTCGCAACATGAGACTTAAAACATGTTTAAAATGCAAAATTTGTAAAAGAAAATTTGTATAGGCTCCGCCCCATAATTGCAAAATCCATATTTTCTGGCAAAAATGTACGATTTTAGCCATGTTTTAAGTTTCTTCTGTATTATAAGATGGCTGAATATATTAAGAAAAAAAAAAGAAGGCAAAATATAAGCCCCGCCCACCTGCCTGATCTCAATTCTGATGATTTTTTTATTCGTGGTGAGCCAAGGGGGGCGGAGCATAACTGCAAACTCCTTATTTCTCGACAAGAAATGAAAAACATGTTTTTGAGTTTCGTGTTGTTTAAAGAATACTACGTGTATTAAGAAAAAAACAAGCCCCACCCATATCCATCCCAAGCTCAATTGTGATGATTTTTTCATTCGTTGTCAGATCGAGGGGCGGAGCCTACTTGCACAATCGATATTTTCCTACGCATATTAAGAAAAAAGCAATAATTTCTTGTTGATTTAAACGTCGAAAACTGTCTTTAACAATACATAAGTACTGACAGAAAGCTACCGCATTCTGATTGGTTGAAAACCCAACGTCAACGGCAACTTCGAGAAATCATAAAAGTAGCCAGTCGTCGATGGGCTCGTTTTCAATTCTTTGGTTTACGTTCGGGACGTAAAATTTGAGTGTAACTAAACAGTCACGAAAAATAACAAAGTTTATGATTTGCGTATCTATGAACTTTCGCAATATTTTCTTTGTGCAGTCGAGTGTTTGCCCATGCTGATAATGAGGTACGGAATAATAAATATGTTGTTTAACATTTTTTACGTATTTGTTTGAACGCCTATGCAATTGTTCTAGATTTTGGATTTTATAGTAGTCGTTTTGTAAATAGAATGAAAAGAAATCCCGAAATAGTGCCCCTCGAATAAAAACGTTCTATAATTGTACCGTCGTAACGTGACTATAAATTCTACAAGATAAACACGAAAATTGATTGAGGTTAAAGCTATACAGAAACATGTAATGGTTGCAAAATTGCGCCCAGTCATGGCAGCAACTAAAATAACTTCTGAAAGTTAAAAAGAATCCTTCACTTCATATTAAGGATGCCCGAAAAGTCCATTAATCCTGTTGGAGAGTGAATTCTCCCCTTTACTCGCGCGCAATATAGAGAGTCACTTTTTCATCCAGATTCAGGTCAATAGCTTCCGCGCCATCCCCAAGGGTCTTGGTAATATCGCGAGGGCATCAAAGGGCACATCCCCCTTAACAAGCAATCTAGCGGCGCCTTTATTGGATGGAAAAGTGAGAGGCCGTCGTTGGTGTAATCCACTTAAAACCTAAAAAAACAAACTGAAGAATCGTCCGTTGAATTGAAATGTATTGTTCCAGGTCGTGTTAGTATGTCTCGCCTGGACCCGCCCCCCCGGTAATCCCAGTGAATGACAGCCATATGCAGCAGCAGCCTGGGCAGCATGAACATCATCAAGCACGAGATGATTTACCGTGACGATGACGTGCTGCTTGTGAAGTCCGAACCCCAGTTACACTCCCCGTGCGGCACCGGCAGCAGCAACGGGCTGTCTTCCGGGAGCGCCGCCATCGGCACGAACCTCCTCTGTGCCAACACGAACAACGGCCTGGTGACGACCTTGGCGAGCAGTTCGTCGTTGAACGGCCTCACCAGCAACGCGCCCGTGGTGCCCAGCAATGGACTGACTTCGAACGGACCGTTCAACGCGATCGGTGGTGGTGGTGGTGTTAGTGCTAACAAGAGGCAGCGGACCGACGACTGGCTCAGCTCGGCTAGCCCCGGCACCATCAGCGGGAACGTGCCGCCGCTGACGCCCTCGCCGGGACCCCCCTCCCACCCCTACACCGTCATCAGCAACGGATACTCCTCGCCCATGTCCTCCGGCAGCTACGACCCGTATAGTCCCAACGGAAAAATAAGTGAGTACCAGAAACGACTTTTTGCTGAACGGTTGACGGTCTACGCTTCTTCAATTATCCAAAGTCGTACTCCTATTGGAAACGTTATCCCGCCGACGTGCCGTCTAAAAACGTGACATTTTGGAAAGCAGCCAGTCCTAAATTATAAACCCGTCGGTTTAGTTTAATTGAGGTGACTAAAGTTTCATGTCATGTCCGAACAATTCTGCGATGTTCGGACGAACGTTAATCGGAGGAAGCTCGGTCCAGCGACGAAACGTGTAGCCGAGATCTGATAGATGCAGACAAAAAAATTGGGGGATCAACGCTAGAAAGAAATAATTGGCCGATTTCTCCATTATCGTGAGAATAATGTCTTTCTACTTTCATCTTTCGACATCGTCGCTCGTTTTTAATTAAATCGTTGTCGCGAACAGAAACCGAACTTGTCCGCTGCAATAAATTTAGAACAATAATCCTAAATACTTGTCGTTGTTTACCGAAAATAAACGTAATCATGGTCTGTGTTTAGATAAAATTTGCGAGGACAGGTGAATGATCTCGCGTGACATTCAGATAAAATTGCAAGGATGTTAGCCGAGTGATACCCATTATCTCAACAATTGAAAGTGTTGATATGTGTATTAATAATAATAATTTTGACAGAAATGACAAACATTAGTTTATTCATTAGCGGTCATAGCAAAAATTGCGACTACCAACAAAACAGAGATTATGTAAAAAAAAACATTTTGTATTTATTGCACAACCAACTGAGAAAGTATCGATTTTTTTGTAAAATGAACTTTATTGTGTGTTTCTTACATGAAAAAAATCTGTGCAGAACCTAGTTTTTCTAAACTAAAAGTTCACACGGATTCGAATACTTACATTATTTACTGTTTCAATACTAGTTGCCAATTTAATTTTTTTTTGTTATAGAGTATTCACCAAATTTAGTGTAGTGAAAACGCCTCTCAAATATAGAAAACTTCAATTCTACGAAGAATTTCAAATTAATTAATTATAATTAACACGCACAGGTGACCAAAAATGACGGAAAAGCTCGATTTGAAGTATATATTTTTTTTAATTTTGTTCAGGGATTTTTTTTACCATTTTTTCAACGCAGACCCTTCTTAACATAGTGTTAACATTTTTTTTTTTAATTATTTTGCTTTCTATCAATGTTAATAAAGTGATCCATATTTAGAACTTCACGAACTCGAAGTCACCCTGTATATTCTTGGAAAGTATAAAGAACTAATTTATTTAAATAAATGTCAAATAAAGATATAAAACAATTATAAATATGTATAATGGAAAAAATATGTATATATGTATAGAATAATAATAAAAAAAAATGGTCGAAAGTTATTTCGACAGAACTTCCTTCGCTTCGAAAGTACAGTCCAACAAATACTGGTTGTCTTAAAATTTTGAGTAAAAACAATATAGAAGGTACTAGTCACAGTGTAATAGAAAAAAAAATTCACCTTCTTAAAAAAGGGGAAGATTTAATATTCTTAAAAAAAGACACTCGGGGCCCCCGAGAAAGTTTTACGATTAAAAAAAAAAGACAATTGAGACCCCCTAGAAGGTTTCACATTCTTAAAAAATACATTTGGTACCCCCGAGAAGGTTTTACATTTATAAAAAAGGCAATTGGGGCCCCCGAGAAGGTTTTACATTATTTTAAAAAAAGACACTTGGGACCCTCGAGAAGGTTTTACATTCTTAAAATAATACATTTGGGACCCCCGAGAAGGTTTTACATTTATAAATAAGGCAATTGGGGGCCCCGAGAAGGTTTCAGATAAAAAAAAAGACATCTGGCGCCCCTGAGAAGGTTTTTTACAGTTTAAAAAAAAGACAGTTGGGACCCCCGAGAAGGTTTTACATGTATAAAAAAGGCAATTGGGGGGCCCCGATAAGGTTTCAGATAAAAAAAGACATTTGGCCCCCCTGAGAAGGTTTTTTACATTTTTAGAAGACAGTTGGGACCCCCGAGAAAGTTTTACATTCTTAGAAGAAATACATTTTGGGACCCCCGAGAAGGTTTTACATTTTTAAAAAAGAGAATTGGGACCCCCGAGGTTTCACATTCTAAAACAAAACCGTTTGGGGCCCCCGAGAAGGTTTTACATTAAAATAAAAGGCATTTGGGACCCCGGGGAAGGTTTTACATTTTAAAAAAGACAGTTGGGATCCCCCAAGAAAGTTTCACATTTTTAACCCTCGAGAAAGTTTCACATTAAAAAAAAATTAATTTGGCGCCCCCTAGAAGGTTTAAAAAAAGACAGTTGGAACCCACAAGAAGGTTTTACATTCTTAGAAAAAATACATTTTGGGACCTTCGAGTAGGTTTTACATTTTTAAAAAAAGGCAATTAAGGGCCTCGAGAAGGTTTTAGATAAAAAAGACATTTGGCGCCCCTGAGAAAGTTTTACATTTTTAAAAGAGACATTTGGGACCCCCGAGAAGGTTTTACAGTTTAAAGAAGACAGTTGGGATCCCCCTAGAAAGTTTCACATTTTTAAAAAGATACATTTAGGACCCTCGAGAAGGTTTCACATTAAAAAAACATACATTGGGGCCCTCGAGAAGGTTTTACATTTTAAAAGGAGACAGTTGCAACCCACGAGAAAGTTTTACATTTTTAAAAAAGGCAATTAAGGGCCTCGAGAAGGTTTTAGATAAAAAAGACATTTGGCGCCCCTGAGAAAGTTTTACATTTTTAAAAAGATACATTTGGGACCCTCGAGAAGATTTCACATTAAAAAAAAATACATTTTGGGACCCTCGAGAAGGTTTTACATTTTTAAAACAGGCAGTTATGGGTTTCGAGAAGATTTTAGATAAAAAAGACATTTGGCGCCCCTGAGAAAGTTTTACATTTTTAAAAGAGACATTTGGGACCCCCGAGAAGGTTTTACAGTTTAAAAAAGAGAGTTGGGATCCCCCTAGAAAGTTTCACATTTTTAAAAAGATACATTTAGGACCCTCGAGAAGGTTTCACATTAAAAAAAAAATACATTGGGGGCCCTCGAGAAGGTTTTACATTTTTAAAAAAGGCAATTAAGGGCCTCGAGGAGGTTTTAGATAAAAAAGACATTTGGCGCCCCTGAGAAAGTTTTACATTTTTAAAAAGATAATTTGGGACCCTCGAGAAGGTTTCACATAAAAAAAATACATTTTGAGACCCCCGAGAAGGTTTTACATTTTTAAAAATGACAATTGAGGGCCTCGAGAAGGTTTTAGATAAAAAAGACATTTGGCGCCCCTGAGAAAGTTTCACGTTTTTAAAAAGATACATTTGGGACCCTCGAGAAGGTTTTACAGTTAAAAAAATATATTTGGCGCCCCCGAGAAGATTTTACATTATTTTACATTCTTAGAAAAAATACATTTTGGAACCCTCGAGAAGGTTTTACATTTTTAAAAAAGGCAATTGGGGGCCTCGAGAAGGTTTCAGATAAAAAAGACATTTGGCGCCCCTGAGGAATTTTTACATTTTTAAAAAGACATTTGGGACCCTCGAGAAGGTTTTATAGTTTAAAAAAGACAGTTGGGATCCTCTAGAAAGTTTCACATTTTTAAAAAGATATATTTGGGATCCTCGAGAAGGTTCCACATTAAAAAAAAAATACATTTGGCGCCTCCGAGAAGGTTTTACATTTAAAAAAAAGACAGTTGGAACCCACGAGAAGGTTTTACATTCTTAGAAAAAATACATTTTGGGACCCTCGAGAAGGTTTTACATTTTTAAGAAAGGCATTTTGGAGACCTCGAGAAGGTTTCAGATAAAAAAGACATTTGGCGCCCTTGAGAAAGTTTTACGTTTTTAAAAAGACATTGGGGACCCCAGAGAAGGTATTATAGTTTAAAATAGACAGTTGGGCTCCCCTAGAAACTTTCACATTTTTAAAAAGATAGATTTAGGACCCTCGAGAAGGTTTCACATTAAAAAAAAATACATTTGGGGCCCCCGAGAAGGTTTTACATTTTAAAAAAAGACAGTTGGAACCCACGGGAAGGTTTTACATTCTTAGAAAAAATACATTTTGGGACCCTCGAGAAGGTTTTACATTTTTAAAAAGGGCAATTGGGGGCCCCGAGAAGGTTTCAGATAAAAAAGACATTTGGCGCCCCGGAGAAGGTTTTACATTAAAAAAAAGACAATTCGGACCATCGAGAAGGTTTTACATTAAAATAAAAGACATAGGGCCCCGAGAAGGTTTTACGTTTTAAAAAAAAGACAATTGAGACCCCTCCAGAAGGTTTCACATTCTTAAAAAAATACATTTAGGACGCCGAGAAGGTTTTACATTAAAAAAAAAAAACACTTGGGACCCCCGACAAGGTTTCGCATTCTTAAAACAAAACAGTTGGGACCCCCGAGGAGGTTTCGCCTTCTTTAAAAAAGGACAATTGGGATTGGGACCCCCCGAGAAGGTTTCACATAAAAAAAAGACATGGGGCCCCCAAGAAGATTTTACATTAAAAAAAAACCAGTTGGGACCCCCTATTAGGTTTCACATTAAAAAAAAATACATTTGGGACACCCATAAGGTTTTACAGTTAAAAAAAAAATAGTTGGATTCCCCTCAGAAGGTTTCACATTCTTAAAAAGATACATTTGGGATCTCCGAGAAAGTTTTACATTTAAAAAAACACATTTGGCGCCCCCGAGGTTTTACATTTTTAAAAAAGACAGTTGGGACCCCTGAGGTTTTACATTCTTAGAAAAAATACCTTTTGGGACTCCCGAGAAGGTTTTACATTCTTAAAAAAATACATTTGGGGCCCATGAGAAGATTTTACATTAAAAAAAAAACAGTTGAGATCCCCGAAAAGTTTCCACATTCTAAAAAAAGATATTTGGGGCCCCCGAGAAGGTTTCATATTCTTAAAAAAAGACATTTGGCGCCCCGAAGAAGGTTTTACATTATTAAAAAGGACACTTGGGACTCCTGAGAAAAATATATTTGGAATCCCCCAGAAAGTTAAAACTAAAGTAG